TCGTAAATATAGTTTTCGCTTAATAACAATATCACCTAACCGCATTGAAGTAAAGAAGAATTTTAAAAGATTTTTTAATATTATAAACTATTTAATTAAAATTTTTAAAAAAATGAAAAAATTCTTGTAAAAATTAATTATTCATTGAAAAAAAAATCTTAAGACACTAGTGTCCTTAATAAATTTTATTTAGAAAAACAATTAAAAGTTTCGTAATTTAGTAATGTCATAGTTTTATTACATGTTTTATTTGACAATTCAGAGCAGATTTTTGGTGAATGGGTTAAATGTTTTACAAAAACAAATTGATGATTTACATTCTCCAAGGTGTCCTGCTTTTAACTAATAAAAATATCCCCGTCCTAAAAACTGAATTTCTCGAAATTTCATGAAACTAAGCAAGTGGATGGTAACATATGTAAAAAAAATATTTTGAATAAGATTTTCTAAAAAACAAACTTAAAAATTGCATTAATTTCTGAATAAATTCTGAAAGTTTCATTAAAATCCGGCAATTATTTGATTCTTGCAAGAATTTTCAAATCAGTGTGTTTTTAAACCGGAAAATGCGCAAAATAAATAAATAAATAAAATGATAATCGTAATTATTACGTCGGTCGCTGACGTAAACAAAAGAAGACTTTTAACCAAAATTTCGAATGTGCTAGAAAGAATTAAAAAAAATTCCAAAAATATTGAGAAAAAACTTTGCTCATTTCTCGTAATAATATGAATATTTTAAAAATCATGTATAAATTTATGGAAACAAAACAAGTTCAGTTGACCATTGATGACAATTTGAACAATGTAACTATAAACAATTTTTTTGCTATCCTCTGCCAGCCGCAATAATGGAGAAAGTATTACCTCGAACCATCGCCAGTGAGACACTCTGCAAGAGCCACTCCGTTTCGCGAGGCTCGTCCCTTAATCGAGACGCAATCGCGACAATCCTCCGAAGGAACGCCATCGAACGAGGGCCAATAACCCCTGAAGACTCCACTGCCACAGGAGTACAAAAAAAAAATCTATCAGCAAGAGAAGAATATTTAACTATTTTTTCATCTCTGCTTTAAAAATATAAATATTTTGAAGGTAAAAGTTTCTTTTTATTGAGTTTGAAGACTTTTTTCGTTATGCTAGTCTGTTTGTTTTTAGCGAAAAAGTATCTAATTTTATAATAGAATTAACAACAACGTGTTTTATAGTATTTATTACTAACAATATATTTTATAGTAGAATTACCAGCAATATGTTCAAAATATTTAGATTTTAGCATTAAATAACCCATAGGGGTGTTGATATGCCACTAAACAAAACCAAAAAACCAACATGAAAGAACCCTTTCATGACATTAATTCATATAATATCCTACAGTTAATTAAAGAAATCAAACTGTATTCCAAAAAATAATTTTAACAAATTACCATGTATTCGACTGTGAAAGCAGAATAATGTATATTATATTTTTATTAATTCAAAACTCCCAACAAAATAAAACTTCGGCATTGAATGACCCATAAGTAGTTGATATGCTGTTAATCAAACCAAATCAGAAGAACAAGTTCGGGTGAGATGTTTAATAATACAAGAAATAGGTCGATGCAAAGATCACTATTGAAGGTTAGACCAGGTACCGATCTACAATCACATCAATAACTACTACGTCACTTCGCATTTATGGCGACTATGTCTGCAAAATGAATCGAACGGTCAAGGGTATTTCACTTGAAGGGCGAAAAGATCTTCTATCATCAGCCCTTTCTCGAGCCACAGTACTGGACAGTTGATGTGTTGAGATAATCGCTTAATCTGCTTTTCTTACTGATTGAAATTTATATTCATTGCATTGGAAAGTGCTTTGACACACGCCGGCGAGATTCCACAATTAGATGAGTTGGCTCCAGTGGACTAAATAATTGCTCTCATTTCTCAGCTGCTGCCAGCGATGCCTCTTACTCAGATAACGGCAGCAGAAGGAAACGGGCCTTGATTTATCTTCAGTCGTAGAATGGCATAACTGCGGGCTACAGATTTCACAGGAAAAGACCGTCCTTGTTTCTAAAGTTATCCAGAGGTATTTATTTGGCTAAGCCAACTAATGAACTACCTATCTCGGGTGAATGCAGGTCGACAAGTTAAAAGTCGCCTTAATCTTATAATTGAAGGTATATTTCTTTTATCTACCTGTCCTGTCTCTCTCTTGAACACATTCGTATATTCTGTACGTGTGGCATACCAAGAACCATAAAAACACATACAGATAAACAGCAACAATTTTAATTCAGTTCGCTTAAAATACGAGCAAGCTACAAACTTAAAAGAACGGATTCATTTTACATATTTCAGTTCCTTAGAGAAATTAAACTAATTTCAAAAATACAATGAAACAAAATAAAAATAACCATAATAGTAGTCTTACTATTGAAAATAAACTTTTACTGTTTAAATACAAGAATTTAAAAAAAAAATTAAATTCTAGCATTAAATGACCGATAAGGAGTTGATACGCCGTAAACCAAACGAAACCAAATTCTCTGTTGCTATATATATATATATATATATATATATATATATATATATATATATGTGTGTGTGTGTGTGTGTGTGTGTGTGTGTGTGTGTAAAGTTAATTGGTAATCCGTATGGATAATTAAAGGGAGGATATAAATCCCGGGAGCTCAATGTAACAACAGAGCAAGTGATAATTAATTAACAAATCGTAGAATTCAGAAATCCATGGTAATTTTTTATTTCGCGAAATCGAGAATTCAATTTCGCTTCGTCAAACCTGGCGGTTTCAAAACAATGAATGGAATTTTCAAAACAATTCTCGATTTTACGAAATAAAATATAGCCATGGCATTCTAAAGCATCCGATATATATACATATATACATACATACATATATATATATATATATATATATATATATATATATATATATATATATATATAGATAGATAGATAGAGATATATATACATATATTTATATATTTATATATATATATATATATATATATATATATATATATATATATATATATATAGGTGTAACAGCAGAATTGTCCAAATCGTGTAAAAAGTAAAATTGTCCATTTATTTAGATTAAGCTCTGAACCGTTGTATCTTAGAAATGGTTAAAGATATCTTACTGGAATGCACCTAGGGTTTTATAACACTATTGAACTCTACTTTAAGTAATAAGAATTTATTATTAATCTTTAAGCTTAACAGAAGTATTGTGATGAAATCGATCATAAACGAAAATGACATGTTCGTCATTAATTAATCATCGTGAAGGATCGGAAGCTCATGAAGTATTGAAATAAATTTCATATATATATATATATATATATATATTTATTATTCCATGATCATTTTTCAGTTTATTCAAAATTCTCTTTCACCTCTCTAGCCTTCTAACTCTCTGTCCTGGAGTAAAAAGTTGCCTAACAGCTTTTTACGTACGATTTCATTTTCGAGTCTTGTTTCACTGCTTTTTGAACTGTCAAAGCTGAAACTCCTCTCTCACGTGCCAAACGTCTTATGAATAGAGTTGGATAATTTCTAATTGATGTCTTTAGCTCTAACTTGAAATGATGTTCCCTCTTCCTGTTGTGTCCTCCTGATCCAGTTTTCCTCTCTACTGTGCCAACTTTTTAAACTTATTCACCGTTATCTTGATGGTTCTTGAGTGGGCTTTGAAGATGGGAGCCAGAGTATGAATGTTGATACCATTACTGAAGGCCTGAATGATCTTTTTCCTCTCACCATTGCTCATTTAGGAAGACAGTTGGGCTGACACAAAACGATTTTAACCTGTTCTCTTTCTAACTGAATAACTCAAAGGGTTTTTCATTGATTCTTACGACAAATGGTGTCAAGATGGCTAACGTCTTATCTGAAAACCTGGAAAAAAGAAAGTCATTTAGTTTAGTTTTTTTTTTTTTTAGATATTTAACATTTTGTGAGATGGATAATTTTTCTGTTACGCATGATATACATGATTTATGTATTCAGTTTCATATGAATATAGGAGTGCCCTGTTTTAAGTAGACAATGAGATTAGCAGCGATCGGCAACAGCCTGGATCATATTTGAACGTAATGGAGATTGCATGAAACAGACTGCCACCGCTCGGTGTTTACATCAGTGTCTACTTTTATATTTACATATGCTCTATCTCTAATATTGAGCACATTTATCCAGAAATATAGCATCCCTCAAAACTTTATTTTTTATCATATATGCAGGGTACAATGAATAAAGGGTCGTCTAAATTATTCAAAAATGAAAATAACACAGACATCTCATTTTAACAAATATATCTATGAAAGTTGCTACGTTCTGGACGGTCTCCTCCTTTAAGTTGAGTCTGAGGCATTTTGGGAAGATGAATGGAGGCATAATGCCGCCATGACTAGTGATCACTCCAAACACCTTCGTAATTACCATTTGACTCATCCAACACTTTCCGAAATCTCTGAACTGTCCTGTTCGTATTGGATTTTCCGGCGCGAATGCCAAGCAGTACAGCATGATGTTTCCAAATGTCTGGAAGAGGGAATTGCATCATGGTGTTTCTTTTTCGCAAACGGTACCCAACTTACTATACTATGCAGTCGACAAAATGAAAAACAAACAACGCGCATGCGCAAAATTAAAAATATAAAATGGCGACAATTTATCCATATCACTGTGTGTGAGTGTGTGTATATATATATATATATATATATATATATATATATATATATATATATATATATATATATCCGATTTCACACTTTATCTATCTTTATCTATCTATCTATCTATCTATCTATCTATCTATCTATATTCTCTGTATGAGAACAAGTGTCAGGTACGCCGCTGTGTGCGTGGTATGTAGTGAGATAATCAAGGAAAAATTGAATTATCAAATCAAGAATTAAGGCAAGCCATATCGACGAATTAGGACACATTTTTTATAAAGCAAACAAACAATATAGAAATAGAATATGTTGTTTAAAGGGATCAATTCCTCTTCTTCATCCGATCGATGCCATAGGCTTCGCCGCGGATTCGTACGGAACAAGCGTATAACACGCATTTCTTTTTCCATCTATTTCCCCAGAAGTTACTCTGAAACGAAGACAAATAGGCTTTAATACTTACGAGGGATGTTTACTTTACTTCTGTAGACCGATAAATGATTTTTCTTTTAAGATGTTTCTCCTGGACTTACTTCTTAACTGAAATAGATGCATTAGTTGCCACCAGTTCCAATGATTCGCTCATCTAAAGTGATTTATGAAGTCTACTTTTATGAATACGTTTACAAACAGTTTTGAAAACATAAAAGGTGAAGTAAGAAGAAAATAATGGTAAGGGGTCTTTGATATTTCGATATTTAATATTCAATTTAACTGTATCTTTTAACTGTAACATTGAAAAGGAATTATACATCTATCTATCTATCTATCTATCTATCTATCTATCTATCTATCTATCTATCTATACATATATGTGTGTGTGTACGTGTGTGTGTATGTATACATACATATATATATGCATATATACATAAATATATATATATGTATACATATACACACACACACAGAAATACATGCACACACACACACACACACACACATATATATATATATATATATATATATATATATATATATATATATATATATTTCTTTTTTTAAATATGTATCCATCGCGACACAGAAATTACTGTTTCCAAACCGAAACTCAAATCTTAATTTAAACTTAATATTTAAAGTTCAGTTCCATTTTCAAGCGATGCTGAGAATAACATTCGAAAAAATTTATTTACTCTATTTATAAGCCAAACAGTATTATATATTTTAAGTTGGTGCGTTATAAGAATTGAGGATTTTTGTTAAGTCGGTGTTGGCTTTTTGCGAAGGAAGAAAGCAAATGGATTTTGATGTAGCAAATTTAAAATCGGTAAAGGTTAGGTAAGTTTTTTTTTGTTTTTTTTTTTTTGAGATTTCTGTCGGTTGATACTGACATTCTTTCAAGCGGTCCTGTCATTACTGTTTGTTTTTTTAATTTAATTTAGGGTTACATTACAATGCATTTGTCATTTTTATTTATTTTTTATACCTTACATTGAGTATTTTAATCCATAAATATAGCATACCTTAAAACTATATATATATATATATATATATATATATATATATATACACACACATATATATATATATATATATATATATATATATATATATATATATATATATATATATACACACAAACACACACACACACACACACACACATATATATATATATATATATATATATATATATATATATAGTAGTAGTTAGCGCGCAAGAGACTGGTAGTTGTGTTCGGACGTGTGTACACCGCATTATTATAATAAATATAATATAAATGCTAAGCAATTGCAGCGCTGATCACATTTATCTTTTCCCCTGTGTGCCACCATACTATACTCCTTCGAATTTTACTCATTTCTGTTTCTTAAGATATATATCCATTACTACGGTATTTTTGAGTAATCTTTTGCTTTTTTTGTGTCACGATGTTTCGCCGAGGTTCAACTCTTCTTGCATCATCGAGAAGTGGTTTTCGCATACTGATAAATTTTTACTGGTGTTGGGAATTTTCTTTTTCTGTTTTATCATTTCTCCTCAAACATCGGTGATTCTTCGGCAACTCGATTTTTAGTCATTTTAGTTGGTCACTCCATTACATGTATTCGACAGCTTTTGCCAATGTAACAATTTAGCCAATTGGGGTCTAAATGGCCATATCACCGAACAGACCAGTACAGACCCCCGGAGGACGGCGTGCATTAACGGACAAGAAACTGGTAGTCATGGTCGGTTGGGTGTATACTGGATTATATTGATAAATATAATATAAATGCTCTACCACAGCAGCATCGAGCACTTTTCCCTGTGTTTCATCTTAGTATACTCCATTTGGAGTTACATATTCTGCGTTAATATATATATATATATATATATATATATATATATATATATATATATGAATATATGTATATATATATATATCTATATATAAATATGTATATATATATATGTATATATATATATATATATGTATATATCTATATCTATAAATATATATATATATATATATATATATCTATATAAAAATATATATATATATATATATATATATATATATATATATATATATATATATATATATATATATATATATATATATATGTATATATATATATATATATCTTTCTCTCTCTCTCTCTCTCTCTCTCTCTCTATATATATATATATATATATATATATATATATATATATATATATATATATATAATATATTATATATAATAGCTCCAATGTATGTCTGCGTACGTCAATGAGTGTACGTGCGTGTATGTATGTTTGCGTACGTAAGAGTGGCGTTGCGACGACAATTTTTCCTCCCAGTTTCATAAAAACACCGATATACGCTACCATATGTAAATCCAAAATTTAAAAATTAATCAGTTTGTCTGATGATCGCAAAGCCAAGGGTCAAAAACTCACATCAATCCTACTAAATATGTTTGCTCTATCAATGATATTGACGGCTTTCCAATAAGTACCGGGCATATATAATATATAGTTAATATATAAAAAATTGCATATATATATATATATATATATATATATATATATATATATATATATATATATATATATATATATATATATATATATATATATTAATATATATATATATATATATATATATATATATATATATATATTATATATATATATATATATATATATATATATATATATATTAATATATATATATATATATATATATATATATATATATATATATATATATATATATATATATTAATATATATATATATTAATATATATATATATATTAATATATATATATATATATATTACTTTAAATGTTATTATATTTGATACATTTTATTTGAAATAGACACTATTTTTATTTTTACTTTAAACGAGGGTGTCTATTTCAAATACAAATATCTGCATTAACATTTGAAAAATGTCGGATTAAAAATAAATCGATTATATATATATATATATATATATATATATATATATATATATATATATATTGTAGAGATATTTTAATAAAGGAATTAACTTTTTTCTTTTTTTTTTAAGAGTAGAAAGATTTTCCTATCGCCCAGTTCATATTCAACTCTCCTCCTCTTGAACAAGAGTAGACGTTTATCCCTTGTTTCCTGTTTAGGAAAAGGTTCCCGGTCCCTTTCTTTTTCTCAGGCCTTAATAATGGTGCTGTCATTAATTTTTCATGAGATACTTGGGTGCTCGCTACGTCTCTTCATATTGAGAGTACCATGTTGGCAGTTTTCTGGTTGCTGCTTCCGACTGCTAGTTTGGAATCCGAACTCTTGCTTAGCGTCTAGAGAGGCTGCTGGGATCAACATTCACTTAATATCGGGGTTCTTGCAATGCAATGTCACGGATGGGAGATTGTCACTGCATGCACCTCCGGTGCTAACCCTGCAGTCTGCGCCAGTTTCCATTCCGCACATGTTACATTAGACAACCGACGGTTACTAGTACCCTAGGATTTTGCCTTACCTAAATAATATACCATAGCTACAAGCCACCAAAGTTATAAACCTAAACCAGATCAACAAAAAAACACCTAAACCCTTTGAACATTTCTTTCTCCAATATTCGCGATATTTTTCAATGTGTAATCGTTCCTTTTCGAAAAGTATCGGGACATTGTAGGTCTCTGAGAAACTAATTTTAATTCTGCAATCCCCTCCTCTTATTTCTCGATTCCTGGCTATCTTCATCACTTTAGTAAGGACTCTAATGTTCCCATGCATGGTCTGGGTTTTTATGTCCGCGAACATCTCCTGTTGGCTAGGGAGCTCTCTCTTGAATCTTCCAAACCATTCTTACATGTGTCTCCATCTCTCTCTAATAAACTCAGTCCGCTATCTCTTCTTTTACTACCGTTCCCCTTCTTCTCAAGACTTGCGGTGCTAGATAGTATTTTTGATAATCTAGACAAGGCCATCGCCCTACACCCGTTTGCAAATATATTTGTGTTCGGTGACTTTAATGTCTGTCATGCCTGTTGGCTTAAACACTCTGTCACTGACCCTCGCTGGCATCCGAAACGCTGCTCTTCTCAATCACTCAATCTCTCACGCAAATGGTGGAATCCCCCACGCGCTTCTCCGGGCTAGCCTGGTGGACACGCTTCTCCGGGCTAGCCTTGTGGGCACGCTTCTCCGGGCTAGCCTTGTGGGCACGCTTCTCCGGGCTAGCCTTGTGGGCACGCTTCTCCGGGCTAGCCTGGTGGCCACGCTTCTCTTGTAGATTTCTTTTTTTACCTCTATCTCTGACACGTCGCGTTATGCAGCTCTGGCCTTTTGACAACTCTGATCATGCGGGTAGCATCTGTAAACATATCCTTCCTCTCTTCCACCAGGCCAAGAATCTGCAGAATATCTTTCTCTTATCAACCAGCGTATTGGGACTCGTTCTGCAATTTCCTTCGTGACCTCCCTTGGAATGAAGTTTTCAATCATCCTGTTTAAAAGTGCACGCCTGAGGCCTCCTCCTGCGTGAAAGCCGGCTTCGATGCTTTCATTCCAGCATGGAAATGCCAATTCAAATCATGTCCATCTTGGTTCTCACCTGCATGCCCGGCCGCTATAACCCATAGGAATCAGTTCTTTCGGCTCTACCAGAGCGACACGTCTGATTGTAACAGACGTTTCTTTGTCTCTGCTAGTAATGAGTGCAAGCGAATCATCAAAAAAGCAATGATACTCTATGTTGATAGAATAAAACAACGTATAGCATCTCGCAAGTTTGGTTCTAGAGATTATTGGCGGCTCTGCAAGAGTGGGCTGAACAACAGCAAATCTTCAATCCCTTCTCTATTCAATCAATTCGAAGTCTTGCCATCTACAGCATTACGGTTGAATTGTTTGCTTGGAAATTATCCTCCCACTCAACACGCGACTCATTTGGAGTGCCCACACCTGATTTCCTCCCTGAAGTGATATGCGCATAATCCCGTCAATGTTCTCAGACATCATTTCTAAAAAAAGGCAAGCGGAGGTGACGGGATCGCAGCTATCATCCTAAAGAAATGTGCTCCTGAGCTGGTTCCAGTTCTCTCTAAACTCTACAACTATTGTCTCGCTGCTTCTTGCTTTCTAGTTTGTTAAAGTCGTCCTTTGTAGTTCATGTTTATAAGAACTCTGGAGAACTTTCTTACCCCTCTAACTATCGCCCTATTAGTCACCTACCGCATTTCGGCGATGTATTTGAAGTTTTAATCCGACAAACAATATGGCTTCCGTTTTGCCAGGTCACTGAATATGTATATCAAGCTCTTGATAATGGCGGCGAAGATCGAGCTGTGGCTCTAGATATATCGAAGGCGTTTGACAAAGCTTGGCACACTGGTCTTCTACGTAAGCTTCAGGGATACGGTA